CCACGAAATCTGCACATGGAGGTTCACAAAGCGCTGTGCCTGCCACGAAATCTGCACATGGAGGTTCACAAAGTGCTGCGCCTGCCGCGAAATCTGCACATGGAGGTGCACACAGTGCTGTGCCTGCCACGAAATCTGCACATGGAGGTTCACACAGTGCTGTGCCTGCCACGAAATCTGCGCATGGAGGTTCACAAAGCGCTGTGCCTGCCACGAAATCTGCGCATGGAGGTTCACAAAGTGCTGCGCCTGCCACGAAATCTGCACTTCAAGAAACAACTGAAACCTCTAATCGCAATGGAGGGACGATTCCGAGCATGATCCGAGAATGACGCGAGACCGTCTCGCACCCGTCGTTCCGCGGAGCTTCCCCCTCGAGGTTCGGAGAAGCATGGAGGTTCACAAAGTGCTGTGCCTGCCACGAAATCTACACATGGAGGTTCACAAAGTAATGCGCCTGCCACGAAATCTGCACACGGAGGTTCACAAAGTGCTGCACCTGCCACGAAGTCTGCGCATGGAGGTTCACAAAGTGCTGCGCCTGCCACGAAATCGGCACTTCAAGAAACAACTGAAACCTCTAATCACAATGGAGGGACGATTCCGAGCATGATCCGAGCATGATCCGAGAATGACCCGAGACCGTCTCGCACCCGTCGTTCTGCGGAGCTTCCCCGTCGAGGTTCGGACAAGCATGGAGGTTCACAAAGTGCTGCGCCTGCCACGAAATCTACACATGGAGGTTCACAAAGTAATGCGCCTGCCACGAAATCTGCACATGGAGGTTCACAAAGTGCTGCGCCTGCCACGAACTCTGCACATGGAGGTTCACAAAGTGCTGTGCCAGTGGTGTATGATGAGTGGTGCGTGATGAGTGGTGTATGATGAGTGGTGTATGATGAGTGGCGTATGATGAGTGGTGTATGATGAGTGGTGTATGATGAGTGGTGTATGATGAGTGATGTATGATGAGTGATGTATGATGACTGGTGTATGATGAGTGGTGTATGATGAGTGGTGTATGATTAGTTGTGTATTGATGAGTGGTGTATTGAGGAGTGGTGTATTGAGGAGTGGTGTATTGATGAGTGGTGTATTGATGAGTGGTGTATGATGAGTGGTGTATGATGAGTGGTGTATGATGAGTGGTGTATGATGAGTGGTGTATGATGAGTGGTGTTTGATGAGTGGTGTATGATGAGTGGTGTATGATGAGTGGTGTATGATGAATGGTGTATGATGAGTGGTGTATGATGAGTGATGAACTGATGAGTGGTGTATGATGAGTCGTACACTAAACTTCCTTTGATCAAATACATTACCTCACAGGTTCCGAGCATGCTGCGGCTGCGAGTCCTGCGAGTCTCTGGCGATCCTCCGTGTGCCTGGAATGAATTCTATATCCAAATTCTTTGACTCACTTCTCCAGATTTTAGGGTGCCACATCCTATATATAGTTTTCGGCAAGAGGTTCTAGCTGCAAACACCTTGAGTTTCACAGATGGTGCTGATAGACCTCGCTATGGCCATTGGAGATCAAATGAGATTAACGGTTTTCTTCCCAGTCCTCAGAACCTCCCAAACGGCCCAAAGATCCCTCACACTCAACAGCTGAGTGGGTTCCATATCTCCAGAATCTCCATTTGCCACACTTAATCACTCTGAGCACATGCGCTCACATAGGACAATCGGTTCCCTGAAATGGCCTTGCAGTGCTTCGTCTAGCCTCGAAACAACGGCGTTTACACGGGAAACTATTCACACAAATAGTGTCAAATAGTACTGTCATGTCATGTACTGTCCCAAAAGTTACTAGCTGGATGTATTGGATTGTGTAGGTGATGGAGTGAACACTTCAGAAACCAGAATCAAAAGCACAAACGTCAATATTCAGTGAGCCTTGAGTAGGGCGGCCGGTGACAGGCTGTTGGTGTTGGTCATCCTCACATGGCCGAGCTTGCTCAACGCATTCCCTGATCGTGTACAACGTGGTGGGGTGAAGCAGTTTGAGTCCCTGCCTTGTTGTGAACCGTTTGCTCTTGCGGTGCACCATATTATCCTTCCCCCATCACGAACCAACATTCTTCAAATGCGGCAACACATTTCATGCTTGCAAGCTAGATGCAACCAGCTTTGTGCGGAGCTTTGAACAAACAAAAACAAGCATGAAGTGAAGGTGCTACCTCGGTGGCCCAAGCAAGGGCTTTGGTCTATTTGCTCTTCTACTATGAAGCCGTCTAGCTGGAAGAGCTTCCCCCCAATTTGAAGAGTACCTCTTCTCTGAAACGGCATTGGCATGTGCCTCACTGCAGCGGCTATTGAAACTCGCTCGACGAATGGAGGCCTCTGCCAGCTGGAGCAAGGGACATCTGCAGTTGGATTTTCCCAATATGTCTAGCTTTATGCGTAAGCTACCTGGATATACCTGGATTAATTATGTTTCAATCTGAAGCCTTTGGCTGCCTATCTTGCCACGTGGATGATATCAAGATTGACAACCCCCTGACTGAGTTTGACATGGTCCGACAATATAGCACTTGCGACCACTTGGGCATGATCCAAACTTCCCGCAAGCACAAGAGGAGACAACCAAGCACTGTGTCCAAGCAAATGACTGGGTTCCAGTCGTTGTCAACTTCACGACTAACCGGTGGCCAAAACATGCCAACCTAGCAGCGATGGCCTCCAACCTACTAGCGATGGCCTCCAGGTCCAATCCTTCGAAACCGCCACACGAAACCGTGATCCAACCTGTGAAGCTCGTGAAGAAAACATCTCGCTCTCGCTGTCGGAGTCAAAGTCGAAATCATCTCCCTGAGAAGTGAGAAATTCATGTCACTGTCGAGGTGATGAAGCTTGAGTCCAGTAGAAATGTAGTGTTCGCCTCCTGTGACTTCCATAGCTTCCCCTTTCCCTTCCCTCCCCACTGCCCTCTCTATCCACTCGATCTACTCTCTCCTCGCTCTCTGTCTCTCTCCCCCTCCCTCTCGCAGAGATAAGCACTGAAGAAATTCGCAAACAAAACATGCACAAGCAACAAGCGCCCGGCCATGCCCCAGGCGCGAAAAAGGTACGCAGGACATTCGGTCCTTTCATCAGCTGTGAGCAGTTGAGATCTAGTTTCACTGCGTCCTTCCTGTCTTCGAAAGTCACATGCCCTCACTAAGCACATTGAAAGTGTTTGTCTCCTCATTATTTGAAGCTTTCTTCTCATCTTTTGTGCCTTACACTGGACTCCAGTCAGGAACAAACTACCAAAGCGCCTGCCAATTGACTGAGGCCAGTGCAGTAAGATTATCTCTTTGTGCCTTGACTTTCGCCAATCGTTCCTCCGAATCAGCTGTGTTCCTTTCCGACTAAAATTGAAAAGAGGTGATAGGCAATCATTGGCACTTTCCACACCGAAAAGGAGGGGGTTGATTCAGTGTCTTCACTCTGGATTCATTCGATACACATCCTTGGTCCATCCCGCTGCTATGCAAGGGTTCAGCAGTTTCCCCATCAGATCGCCACAAATCCAGTCCTCCACAGAGAGGCCGTCGAGCAGGGAAGAGGGGAACCAGCTGGTCTGCAGAAGCAACTCTCGAGGCCAAGGCAAGCTTAAGTGGCAGCAACTTGTTGTTTAAACTTTATGTGTTTTCTTCCTACACCTAGGAACCAACATGATTAGTGTGAGTGCTTCTTCAAGGAAGCTCCCCTGGCCCTGGGCTTAAAACATGTATCTAACAATATCAAACAATCATTTAACAATCTTGTCTTGTCACTTTGCAAAGACACGTGTGAACCAAGCATCCCTGAATTGATCGCGATGAGGCACCTGGCGGAGACTTGGCTGGTGACCTCAGCGCCCATGGCACAAAAATGCTTGCTGCTCGCAAGAAATGAAATGCTCGCTGCTTGATCCCGGTCCAAAAGTGATTGCAGCAAAGAAGTTTGTGTTTTGCTGTCATTCCTCTTCACAGTGGCGTCAAGAATGTGTGAAGCGCCAGTGTCACAATACGACTTCATGGATCGGAGATACGACTTCATCCCAATATGCTTCCGCTTCTGTTTCTATCAGCTTCTGGGTTCTGCAAGGAAGCAAAGCGCTGTTCTGCCTCTGACATTGAGAAATGCTTCTTGAAACGAAGCACCGCTTCTTGGTCTTGAACGACGGTCTCCCCCTGTCCCGTCCCAAGAAAACATCGAAGACCGGCGCTTCAATACCTAGCTGAGCAGCTTTTGGGCTCTTTGCGATGCCTCCGGACTTCCAACATCTCGGATGCCTTAAATGAGTGAGACAATGAACGTGCACCATGTGACCCCGATCTGAGATGGCAGCTTTGCCCAACAACCACACACGCGGAGAGCCCGTGTTCTTTTTTGCCACAGAAGCATGTTTTTCTACATCGATCCATCTAACATGTTCGACTTCCATCCGAGACTGCTGGGAATCCTGTGCTTCATGATTCTACTTGAATCTACGAACACCTCAAATTCAAACATCCTCAAACAATATTCATCTCTCACAATTCGATGTTTTGTTGCAAACTTATGCAAGCAACTTGAACATGCAAAGATGTCAGCCGCACGTTTTTGCTTCGCTGTACTGCCACTGAGGTGTGGGGTCTTTTTGCTGTCTGAAAATTGATGTGCCAGGGACAACGATGACATGGTGGTGCATACTGGTCAAGCACCGAGAATTGCCTTGACTATACCCTGAATTTTGCACGATGGCGCAAGAAACTGCTGCAATGCAGCGGTGCAAGCATTGTTAGCTGCACTGCCACATCTTTCTGCCTCCCAGCCAATGGAAAACAGCTGTGCATTGCAACTGGAGCGTCAAAAGCTATCGGATTATCTAGAGTTCCTCTAGTCTGGCACAACCCTTTCAGTCATATTAATTCAATTTGTGGGTCTGCCTGAGAGCTAAAGTGTTAGTGTCCTCCTAGATCCTCCTAGATACTGGACATCTGCTTTGAACCATGCGCAAACGATCTTATCTTATCTGTGCGTTAATGAATCAGTATAACTCCACCCCAGCCATTGCAACCGATGTAGGAAAAGCTCAAGGTTGCGGCTGAGGCTTCCTACAGGCAGATCCCACTTAAGAAACTTTGATGCAACTCCGATCCCATGATTTTTGCATGGATCGGTCAAGATCCCGACAAGCGGCTACACAGCCGGTGTCTCCTTGCCAATCACTTTCCGTACACCAAACAAGCTGGTCACTTGCTGGTGTATTGAAAAGCTGCCACATGTGTTGATGCCGAGAGCCTCAACGAACTTATGGAGCCCCCTGAGTCAACATTGATATGAAACTCACCAGTCGCGTGGTGGTGTCAGCGTGCACATGAGCACCATACATGTGGGATAACACCAAGGAAGCAGCCTCTGCGATGGTCAACTTGGCAGTGTTTATCACAGGGAAGCCCGTAAAGTTCCTGGTGTAAAACATCTTCACCCAGTTCAATTCTTGGCGTATTGTTGTCAATCCTGCATAGTCTGAAGAAGATATTTTCAAGCGCTTCATACGATCCTGACGGATGCTTTGAAGTGCATGAGCCTCTGTCGTCAGCAATGCGATCTTGGAACGCCTCACTCGAAAGAGATTTTGAGGCAACTCCTCCCCAGGCACCAATGGATAGTTGGCAGCTCTCAATCCAAGCTTGGCAAGAAATCTGGCTAAGGTTGTTTTGCCCGTGCGGGATGGACCTACAAGAAGCACGTCAGCATCCTCCCACTTCTCTGGCTGAACTCCGTCATCGGCTATCTCGGCAAAGGCCTCCGCCTCTTGGACAGCACATTTGAGCTCTTTGATCACTTCTTCGGATTGAAGATGAGCGAGAGCGAGCTCTGAAGTCAGTGCAATAGCTACTTGCTTGCGGACATCAAGGTCCATGGATGTGCAGCAGTATCTAAGACTTCGGGCTCGACCCCGTCTTTCTCTTCGCAATGCCATTGATGCTATCGCCGTCGCTCCAAGCACAAAGCAACGCAGCTGTCGTTGAGCTGCAAGCCCTGAGTGATCCAAGTGATCCCAAAAATGCAGGGGCCAATTCGAGGGCCGAGTTGAAGACCTGGGTGGCGTCGGCGCCGTCGGCCGTGCCCCAAGCGAAGGAAGACCCCAAGCCAGCGAAGCCATCCTGCTTCTCTTCAAAAAAACCGTTCGCCGCGTTCGCCCACAGCGCGTTTGATGTTCAGAGCTCAAAGGCCTAGCTGCAGCTGAGCCTTCGGCTTGAACAGTGTGGCCAAGTCCCACTACTCGATCAAAGCACAGTGAGACGTTGATATTCTCCCCATGAGCTCTGCACATGCCCAATGCTACATGATCCCACCAATGGATTGGAATTACATATTATTAACTCATGTGCTGATGACCCTGTCTCAGATCATCACAACATGCGACTACCCTTCTGGGTGGCCAACGTTCTGATGATGGCCCAGTCCTTCGCAGCTTCGCCTCAAGAACAGATTCACCATGCCTCCTGAGTTGATGCGTCATGATGTATCCAATGTTCAGCCGAGGGGCTGGATCTTCTTCACATCGACAATGGAAACTGGCTCCTCACAACACATAAGTTCACATTTTGGCACTTCTTATTCCGTGACGGGCATCTTTGCCGGAGACGGAGCAAGAGTAAGAGACAGACAAACTGATGAGAACGTCATATTAGTGATATATAGTAATATAGTAATATATAGTACGTATATATATATACAATATCAGCTGCCGTTCAGGCTTGCCACATCTACTGAGACCGCGCATTGGGCATTGGGGCTTTTTGAACCAGGTGTGGATGCAAGGAAACCCTTCACATGAAGGTCGACGGTGAACCATGAGTGCCAACTTCTTCTCCAGCAGCCCTGGCCTTGTTGCCAGAGCCACATCCTTCAGAATGGAATGGCACCAGTGGAATGTCCTGGATCAAAGGGAGCCGTGGCATATGCGCTCTACAACTTCCGGTAACAGTGCTTGCTAATTGCTCAAGAATTCTCACCGGGTACATTTGAAGGGACTGCAATTCCGCAGGCCTGACACATCATGTCAATATGACATTGCACTCTACTACCCCCTGTGGATACCTCTCCTTTGACTTTCTCCTCGGCATCTCCGCAGTCGACACCTACACTTTGCATCTGAAAGTGAATGCACCAAAACACCAAAGCAGATAGCTTGGACTCTGCTACCCGCTTCCAAACACAGCAGGACACCTTATAACACCTTGAAACCCATTTTAACCCTTCGTCGGATAGAAGCGGCTTTGATGACCTGAAACAAACTGAAACAGCAAACACCTTCGCCATCGCTTCAGCCATCTCCTGCTGCTCCCTCCGTCTTCGATCCAGTTTAAAAGCCACCTGCGGCATGACAATACCTTCGCCGACTTTGTTACATTATTATGTGTGTATTTATGTACTGTAGTTATTGCTGCATTCAATGGATGTTTGCTCATAGTAATTCTTATGATATGTCATATGTCTGGTTACCTTATCAAGCAGCAGCACATCCTTGGCAAGTTGCACAACTCCCTCAAGGGATCGACCTTCCGTGTAGGATCCTTTGCCATTTGCTCCTGGACGGTCGACGACATCGACATCTCGGTCGACAGCATAATATCTCGAGGCAATACGGGTAACCTGGTCAAACCTGGCTGATCCTGGTGGCAAACCATGGGCAAACATGTCTCAGTGGCTTGGTTAATTGCATGTGGCGATCTGGACAAACAGCCAATCTGCCAAGGTGCAGGAAGTGTCACTTTGTTCAAAATGACCTCTAAGTGTTAGCAGCTAAATGATGAACTTCAAACATCTTCAAACCAACACTTTTTCCCGCCATCTTTAGCGGAGCTGCACACTCATACGACTACCCGATCTACATGGAATAGGCCAACATTCCGAAGGCTGGAGAAGTCTGACCTTAGTGGGAATCGCAACAAACCTGACACAGTAGGAGTCGGCATGAGTTTGCTTACTTCTCCAGCAATGCAGGCATACCTATATACATATTGCATTTTCCGCGTCCTCTTTGAGGAACCGCGCTACATTAGCGTCTTTCTGAACGGCTCATATCGACCGAAACACTTCAAACAATGCTTTGGCCTATGAGAAGGATGACAGCTTTGGTCTCCTGATTGGCTGCAATGTACAGTAGTCATCTTAATTAGACTAGACTTGGTAATGACTCAGCTGTATCTGCGACGTAGATCTGGCATTCGATCCTGGTCCCTGCGCTTTGTGGATGTTGCCCCAGAATCCCATCGTGATCTTCGGTGTCGCATCCGATTGGGTGGAGAAGGCGGAGCAAGTGGAATGGGTGGAGGATCTGATAGAGCACGTGATGGATGTAGTGGCAGTGCTTCTGGTGGAAGCAGTGCTGGCTGAAGGACAAATGGAGGATTCTCAGCTGGTTCACGCAGGCTCGGTGATGTTTGAGGAAGTCTCATTGGCCGTGGCCTCTGACTCTCTGTGATTTGCATACACGACAGTCTCGAAGTTGGTCGCACTTCTGAGGGAACTTCAAGACCGGTCTTGACTGTCAAACGGTCCAAGTGCGGTATCATATCTATGGAAATTTCTAGGATCGGCGTGCTGGCTCTTCTCTTGCTTCTGTCCAAGTTCAAAATTGGTAGGTCGCCTATCCAATGGTGTAGAATAGTCTGGGCTCCGCTCCAAATACGAGCTTGTGGATTGACGTCCAACAACGGCTTTGGTCGTTGCAACAGTGGTCTTCTCTGAGGAGGACATGTGCTGGCGGGTGTCCGAAGAGTTCGCTCCGTGCAGTGCATTGGAAGCTCTCTGCAACAATGCATGCTTGGCGAATTCGGATAAGGCCCCGCTGTTTGGTTTTCCAGTGGAGTTGGAACAAGGGGCTGGAAGGGAGCGGGTGGCGGTGGTGGTATGTCTATGCAAACATGCCTTGAAGGGGCGATGGAATAGAGTTTCTTTGGATACAAGTCAGGAAGGCTTTCAAGCCTGGTGCAGAAGGACATCTTGCGACGTGCTAGCGGAGATGGCTCGACAAGGGCCAGCACGTTGCTGTTAAGAGGCAAGACATACAATTCTGCTGGCAATGTAGGTGGCTGTGGGATGAAGGGGGGCGGTGGTGGTGGTAGTGGAGGTAGTGGCGGCGGCAAAGGTGGTGGTACCGGCGAAATAGAGACTGCGCTTCGACAGCTTCGACAGTATCGCCACGCTAACAAAGCAGTGAAAAGGATGATCAGAACACCAACTGCTGTTGACCAACAAAGAATGGCCATTGCTGCCAAGTCTTGAGTTGATGTGGTAGTGGTAGTAGTCATGGTGCTACTTGTGGATGTTGTAAATGTTCGGGTAGACGAAGTGGAGCTGGTCTTAGTGCGACTCACTGAGCTGCTTGTCGACGTTGAAAGTGTTACTGTTGAGCTTGTCATTGTGCTGGAGGTACTGACAGTGCTGGATTTCGTTGTTGTGGACTGGGTCGTGGTGGAAGTGGTGCTCTTGGTGGATGTACTCCGCGTTGTGGTAACGCTGGTCATAGTGCCTGTTTGAGAGGTAGTTGAAGTTGTGGAGAGACTGGTGCTGGATATGGTGCTCATGGTGGAGGTACTGCTTGTTGTTGTCCGTGTGTCAGACCCAGTCGTTGTAGAGGACTGGGATGTGCTGCTCGTGGTGCTGTGAGTATACGTGCTGGTTGTTGCTGAGACAGTGTGAGAGCTTGTTGTTGTGGTGGAGAGGGTGTTGCTCGATGTGGTGCTTTGAGTGAAGGTCCTGCTTGTTGTTGTTAGTGTATTTGATCTGGTCGTTGTGGAGGACTGGGATGTGGTGCTCGTGGTGCTGTGAGTATACGT